GGGGGGGGGGGGAACCCAACAGTTTTCAAGGGGAAAGCGGGAAGCTTATGTCTATCATAACAATGGTCGGTGTTAAGGACAATATGTAAGAATAGCTGCCAGATGTCAAAAATGTAGCAGATGATGAATTGCGAGGTGGTGAAGCAGCCAGTAATGGCGGCGATGAGGACAGCAGTGGCAGTAGCGGCTGCTCCAACTTCAACAGCTCCAGCAGCTAGGCTCCATCCACGTCAGTTGCACTCATATCCATCACCAGGGCCGCACTCCGTTAGCCCAGTCCATATTGTCACAAGAGTAGGGGCCAAATGACACAGTATGGTGGCCCAGGCAACGGCGGTGATACCGGAGGGGGCCAGAACGAAGGACCCCCCCCCCACTCCAACCGTGCCCATGCCAACTACCAAAGTCATCTTCTGCTGGCATCAATATCCATGTGCCTCTGCCACTCCCCTCTGATCCAATTTATCATGTCCATAAGCAAGGAGGAGGGGGGAGCAATCAGATAACACCATGGTGTGGGGAGCGGCAGCTGCAGAGATCCTAAGCCGGTCGTCCCGCCCCCACTGCTGCTGAGCACACCCACGCCGGCTGCAGAGATCCCAAGCCAGGCGTCCCGCTGCCACTGCCGCTGACCACACCCATAGTGGCTTCAGAGACCCCAGGACGGGCATCCCGCCAATGACAACCATACCCACGCTGGCTGCAGAGAGCCCAGGACGGGAGTCCTGCCACTGCCGCTGACCACACCCACGCCAGCAGCTGCTGACGCTCTTCATTCTCCTTTCACCGCCAACCACCCCATTTCACTCATTATGTTCCGGCTACAAAGCAGTAAATCGCAGCTCAAAGGTATCCCCAAGGTCCCAGGAAGTTCTCATAGCTGGACATGGAACCAATGATGGGATAGGGTACCCCCTGCAAGCCCCGAGAAGGACAGTCATCTCCCCAAAGCTCTCCTCAAATGCGACAGGACACCAACTTGGGCATGTGCACCAGAAAGTGGTCAGAAAGTCAAGATAGCAGAATTGCAAATATGCCCCTTTTTAAAATGCATCACATGTAAAAACAAAGCAGATCTTTGATCACACGGTTGTGGCCATCAACTTTTTTTTTTTAACTCCATGAGGATCTCAGCCTAGGCTAAATGAAAAGTCTGTTCATGTATGTTAGAAGAATGTAATTCCTAGTCAAGTTATTTTGTGAATTTAAAGACAGTTTGAGAATACCTGGAGATTGTCTAAAACAAATTCTTGTTTCAAAGTAATCACGTAACCCTAGTCATATGACAGTGGTGGGTAGCACGTACAGGAGCCAGCGCGGAGCCCTGGATACCGTTCCAGTACAGTGCTCCAGAGGGCCCACCTGGCCGCCTGACCTCCTTACCAGTGTTTATGTCATAAGATGAATATAATATATTTATAAAGCAAATAGTAAGTTACTTACTATGAAAATTATTTTATACCTGTTAATGATAGCTGTATCCTTGTCAGTTATCCAAGTTCATGCAAGTTGATTTGACATGCTGTTCATCCTGAGGCTTTTCACCTCATGTTCCATTTGTAACAGTAGCTATACCAATCTGATATCTGTAAAAATATCTTGATATAAGCTGGTAAAGGTTATCCTATCGCTTTACTTTAATTCAACAGAAATGAATGATCAGATTAATTTATCCGAGGCAGACAGTTGTTTCTATCAATTCATAGAAGGCTAAGATGATATTCTCTGTAAAATTAAACTTCAAGAAATGTAAAGACCAGGGTGAAAAAAAAATACTTCATGGACATCAGTTATTGGCGAACCACATAAATAATAATTCTCTCAGATTTATTAAGGGATTAAATCCTGTAATAATTCACAGCTTTATTTCAGATGCACTTCTAATTTAGACAAGCTATCTTTGGGAAATAATTTCAGCTGTTTGAATATAAGCTCTGACCACATGTTTCCTCATCCACAGACTTGATTTCCTTCATTCAGACTATGATTTGAATGTCTGCAGAGTGGACAGTGTACTACATAATTAACCTTCTGTGCTTCCTCTTGTACTCAAGAAGACTTCCCTTTTATACATATTTGGATCAATAATTGAATTTGCCTCTAACAGCACCTGACATCCTAGAACTGAAAGCTAAGCTAGATGGGGGAGGTAATGGATATTTCTTTTCATCCACTTGTGTCTCAGCAGAGGTGGGAGTTTCCACTCCAACTTAAAAGAAAAAGAAGGGCTCAGTTCAGATGTCACCACTGAATTCTCTCTCTGCTTGTGGCTCATGAAAAAAGCAGAGAAAGTAATGTGGATCTTGACTATGCAGGCAGGGGCAGCCCATTTGGGAGTAAATCATTCACTTTCTTTGTGTATTTTGAGGGCTGTAAACATAAGATGATCGATAATGGCCATG